ATGATGATGATGATGATGATGATGATGATGATGATGATGATGATGATGATGATGATGGAGGAGGAGGAGGAGGGGAGGAGGAGGAGGAGGAGGAGGAGGAGGAGGAGGAGGAGGAGGAGAGGGAGGAGAAGGGGGGAGGGAGGAGGAGGGAGGAACGAGTGACGAAGGTTGGAGGAGGAAGGAGGGAGAAGAGGAGGGGGTGGAGGAAGGAACAGGGAGGAAGAGAAGGGAGGGGGGAGGAGGGAGCAGGAGGAGGATGACGAGGAGGAGGAGGAGGAGGAGGAGGAGGAGGGACGGGGCTGATTATCGGGTCCCCATCGGCGATGAATGGGCGATTAGGGGTCGATGCGCTCCCCCTCTGCCTATATTCCCCCGATCGCTGCCCCCGACCTGGGCCTTCCCACGGACCAGCCTCTCGCCCCGAGCCGGCTTCTACCAGTCCCGGGGGCCGTGGAGGGCCCGCAGGAGGCCGACGAAGGGGAAGAACCTGAGGACCCGTTGCCCTCAGGACCCGCTTGCTTCATGGCGAGGTCCCTGACCTCCTCCCTGGCGCGCGGAGCGCGCCCAGGGCGGCGCTGGAAGCGCCGCCCAGGGGGGCCCAGCGCGGATCCAAGTAGTCCGCGCGGAACGCCAAAAGTTTGTGTTTATGCTGTTTTTCTTAGATGTTCCTCCCCCGAGAGTGGACAAGCGCGCTCCAGTACTCGCAAAGTTACTGCTCGCAAGTGGCCCAGATCTTCTGCGGGGGATTTGCGATACGTTGCATAAAGGAATACATGTTTGTTTCGGACGTCTGCGAGTACAGTGGGGGCCCGACCACAGGAAACCCTCCACAAGAAACCCAACCCCGCGACCCCAGGAGGTCCCTTGATTTTTGGTGAGGGAACGTCACGCCTTCCATCGCAAAACCATCGACACCCAGGAAACCCAGGGCACCCTGGAGGCGAGCAGGGTGGTGCTTGGCATGGGCCTCCACTGCGATTAGTGGAACGCTCCTCCTCCTCCTTCTCCTCCTCCTCTTTCTCCTCCTCCTCCTCCTCCTCATCCTTCCCTCCTCCTCCTCCTCCTCCTCCTCCTCCTCCTCCTCTTCCTCCTACTCCTCCTCCTCCTTCCCTCTCCTCCTCCTCCTCCCCCTCCTCCTCCTCCTCCTCTCCTCCTCCTTCCCTCCTCCTCCTCCTCCTCCTCCTCCTCTTCCTCCTCGCTCGGTGACAGTCCTTGGCCCCCGCGTCGGCGCCGGCGCGGCGCACCGCCCACCGCGCGGCGTCGGCGTGCCCCTTGCCGGCCAGGTAGTGCAGCGGGCGGCAGCCGCCGCGGAGGTCGGCGGCCTCCACGTCCGCGCCCCAGGCGTGCAGCTCCGCCAGGCACTCGGCGGAGCCTGAGGCCGGGGGCACTGAAGGGGCCCCAGGACACACAAATAAGCACACACAAATACAAAGATTCCCCATATTTTTCATATGTTTTCTGGGTTTCTGTCTTCCCCCCCACTTCCCAGATGTTCCCATATTTTCTGGGGAATCGAGGATTAATTGTGTCTGTGTGTTTCTTTTCCTCCTGAGGCACGTCCTCCTACAGACGGCTTCCGGAGGGAAAGTTCAAAAGAGCCAAGCATGCTCAACAAACCATCCTAAGAGCACGAGACACGCCGCCTGACGATTTCTGACTACTCTCGAATATACCCTGTAGGAGGAGATGCCCGACTCTAAGCGGAGCCGGACAGCTGCACCCAGTGCGCGGCGGTGGCCCCCGAGGCGTCGGGCGCGTCGACCTCCGCGCCCCGCTGCAGGAGCCACCTGCAGGGTGCCCCCTGGCCCAAGGTGCCCCCCAGCCTGCCGCTCGATGTTGGACCCCCTTGGGGCCCTCTGGGCCTCGCGAGGGGGGCACACTGGCGAGGTCGTGGGGGCCTCCTTGCCCAGGAGGCCACTTGGTCCACAGACCGAAACAGCGCAAACGAGCGCAAATGCTTAAGTCAATCCCCAGTTGGAAATCCTGGGGGTACCTTGGTCAAGGGGCACTTTTAGCAGCACCCGTCAGGTGAGCGGCGAGCAGACGCGGCAGGAGGCACGATGGCATGGCAGCCTCGCGCGGTGGCTTACTCGCGGGCCGCTGGCGTGACACGCCCGCCGCCCGCCGCCGCCGCCGCCGCCCGCCTTCCCAACACCAGCCCAGTTCTCCACGGCCTCCGTCGCCGACACATCGGGTGTTGCCAGAAGTGCCCCTGGCCAGAAGGGCCCCCTGCTTTCCCCCTCATTTCGGAGGCCCTGGGGCCGCCCGGGCCCCGTGAGGGGGTGCCCTGGAGGCCGTGGGGGCTCCCATGGGAATCCCAGGGGGCACCCTGGGCCAGGGGCACTTCTGGCAACACCCGAACACATCGCCCTGCACTCCGCAGCCCCCGCGCCCAACCCCCACCACGGCACTCCGCGCCCCCCCGTCCCCGCGGCGGCCGCCTTCGGACCTGCACTGCGAGACCCGAGCCCGGCCGCCGCCCGCCGCCGCGGCGTGGAGGAGAGGGCGCCCACGCACGGCCTTCTCGCGGGAAGCTCCCGCGCCAATATGTCTGCGCGCTCGGCCCCGCTCTCTCCCGCCGCCCGCCTGGCGACACCGGCCTCGCCCGCGCCCGCGGCCAGGTGAAGCAGCGACACGCCGTTCTCGAAGCGCGAGCGCAGGAGCCCGTCGCCACACCTCGGAGCCGAGCGAGCTGAGACAGCGGCAGCCCGAAATCGGTCCCCGGACACCTCCAGGGGTCCAAACGCACCAGTTTGCAGATCTGCGTCCAGCCGTGGTCTCGACGAGGGCCCCCCCCCCGAAGGCCAACTACCGCTGTCTCAATTCGCCCACCTCTGTGCACCTGCGGTGGGCCCACTCCAACACCTGCAGGTGCGACTGCTCCACGGCGATGCGCGCGATCGCGGCGGCCTCGGCGGCTTCTGGCGCGCCTTGCAGGGAGGCCTCCTCGAGCCCCGCGACGTCGCCCTCCGCCGCAAGTACCTGCAGGTCGCTGGCACAAGCGCCCATGCCCCCGACACCTATCGTGAAGGGCTCCGCGTCCACGTGCACGTTGTAGGTGCAGTGCCACACGCCGTCAGGCACAATCGTGGAGGAACAGAGAAGCGGCATGAGCATACACTGTCGGAGCTCCGCGCGGAGTCTTTGGACCTGCACTGGCCCGGCCTCCCTGGCGCGCTCCGCGCGCCAGGGGCGGCGCCGGGGGCGCCGCCAGGGGACGCCGGCGCCGATCCGAGGAATCCGCGTGGAGCTCCGATAACTCATGCTCATGCCTCTCCCTGCTCCTCGAGATCACGCACTCGCCGGGCACCAGAGGAGAAGGAGGAGGAGGAGGAGGAGGAGGAGGAGGAGGAGGAGGAGGGGGAGGGGGAGGAGGAGGAGGAGGAGAGGGAGGGGGAGGAGGAGGAGTAGGAGGAGGAGGAGGAGGAGGAGGAGGAGGAGGAGGAGAATCCTGCTCGTGCGCCCACAGCTCCCCGCCCGAGTGGCCGGGCTCCGTGCCAGGCGCGCCGCTCCGCGGCTCGCGGAGGCGCAGCTCGGCCTCGCCCACCCGGCGCAGGGCAGTGGCCGGCGGCGCGTCCCCCGCATGGAAGAACCACCGCTTCCGCCCGGACACGAGCAGGAGCCAGCTCCTCTTGGCACAGTACAGATCCGCATCATGAAGATGCGCGATTGGGTGACCCAGGGGGTCCAGCGGTACATCTGCGCCCCGGAACGTGTTGCTCGGCCCAAATCTATTGCAACCCACGAATCTTTTGCACCAGATCTACTGCACCATCCCCTTGTGGCTGAACCCCCTTTTGAGTCAACCGGATGCAGGGGCCTTGGACGCCCACTTCGACGCTGTCCGAGCGGGGCGCGGCCGGCGAAAGCGGCCAAGGATGGGCCGACGAGGCAAGGAGGCAAGGGTACCCGTGGGAAGGCTGCCCATCCTTACTACGCGGGTCCACTGCACAGCTTGCGGGGTGCGCGCAGACAGCCCCCCGCAAATGGAGTCCTGGCTAGCTGCCTTCACGGGCCCCCCGAGTATAGTCCTGGGCGGTCTCAGCGCCTTGACCCCTGGGTGCGGGGCGCCACTGGGGCGCCGCCGGAGGCAGCGCCAAGGTGTTGAGACGACCACAAGAAACCTTCCACAAGAAACCCAACCCTCAGACCCCAGCACGTCCACTGCTTTTTGGTGCGGGAACGTGACGCCTTCCACAGCAAAACCATCGAAACCAAAGAAACACAGAGCACCCTGGAGGCAAGCAGGGTTTTTCTTGCCCCTGGGCCTCCACTGTGACTTTGCCCCTGACTTTCCCTCTTTGACCTCCAATGCTGTTTGGAACGGGAACGCGACGCCTTCCACAGAAAAACCATCGAAACCCAAGAAACCCAGCTCACCAAAGAGGCGAGCAGGGTGTTTCTTGGCATGGGCCCCCACGGCACTTCGGTCGGGCGTGTCCCCCTACAGGCGGATTTTGGACGGAACATGAAAATAGTCAAATCATCATTCAAAACAAATTCAAAAATGGTCAAACAAATCGTTCCCTGACTGTTGTCTTACTATTCTTGATTACTTCTCTTGTAGAGGGCTACGCCCGACCTAACACTGTACCTGCGGGCGCTGTCTGCGCGTTCCTCTCGTGCCGGTGGAAGGCCAGGCCAGCGGCGGCGGCGGGGGCCGGAGCGCCCGCCGACGCCCGCGCGCCGCCCTCCCGGACGAGTCACAAAACAACACGCGCGTCACAAACCAGGGCCCGACCTAAACAGCGTCTTTCGCTTTCGTGCCGTTGCCGTTTCCCTCGTTTTGTCTTAGATGGGGCGCTGCTGCAAAAAAACATCGAAACGAAATAGGCCCACGAAATCGCCACCCTTTCCTGACATGAACGGGAAGCGCGTGACAGGGAAGAGTTGCGCAAGAACTTGCAGCATCATCGCGATCAAATGTAATATAGGCGAGCTTTCCGAACGCTCACAAAGGATACGTATGGACACGCGCCCCCCGAACGTTTACAAGCATCTTCCTGGTTATCCTCCTCACTCCTCCGCATGAGGAGAACGACGGCGAAAGCGACAATCGTGGGAGGAAGGGGAGGAGGAGAAGGAAGAGGAGGAGGAGGACCAGCAGCAGCAGCAGCAGCAAGAGCAGGAACAGAGGGTGAGGAGGGGACGGGGAGGAGGACGAGGAAAAGGAGGAACAGGAGCAGGAGGAGGAGGAAGACAAGGCGGAGGAGGAGGAAAGAGAAGGAGGAAGAGCGAGAGGAGGAGGAGGAGGAGGAGGAGGAGGAGGAGGAGAAGGAGGAGGAGGTGGAGAAGCAAGAACAGGAGGAGGAAGAGGAGGAGAGGGAGGAGACGGAGAAGGAGAAGGAGAATGAGAAGGAGAAGGAGGAAGAGGAGGAGGAGCAGGAGGAAGAGGAGGAGGAGGAGGAGGAGGAGACCAGATGGCTTCGAGGGCCCGTTCGAAGGCATGTTGTGAGGGATGTCTCGAGTGAAACGCTGATGTTTCAACGAACGTTAAAAAAAACACATTGGTTGTTCAATAGTTTCGCTTCTTGGGCCATCTTGGAGGTCATCCAAGATCGCTCCGAAAAGATGCCTTACAAGAGCTCTGTCGGCATCCCATGTGTTCGAGGATGTCTAAGGCGAAACGCCCATTTTCGAGGATCCGAAAATTAGGCAAGCGATTTAAAAACCGCCATGTTTGGAGGATGTCTCGAGCGAAACGCCCATGGTTAGCAAGACACGTCTTAAGATACGACACCCAACTTCACGAATGGGTGAGGATGTCTCAAGCGAAACGCTCATTTGGGGAACCGTTCCTGACATGAACGTGCGCAAGAACTTGCAGCAGCATCGCGATCAAATGTAATATAGGCGAGCTCTCGAACGCGCACAAAGGATATGTATGGGCACGCGCCCCCCCGAACGTTTACAAGCATCTTCCTGGTTATCCTCCTCACTCCTCCGCATGACGAGGACGACGGCGAACACGACAATCGTGGGAGGGGGGAGGGAGGAGGAGGAGGAGGAGGAGGAGGAGGAGGAGGAGGAGGAGGAGGAGGAGGAGGGGGAGGGGGAGGGGGAGGAGGACAAGCTAGGTGCGCTCGCGTCATATCTGACGTCCTACCCCTCCCTCCCATCCCTTACCATGGCGCTGATTTTCTCTATCCGCGGACGCGTGTCGTAGCGGACCTGTGGCTCCGCGCGCGCGTGCGTAGTGGGTGGTGGTGCACGTGCGTGCGTGCGTGCGTGTGTGCGTGGTTGTCGTGGTGGTGGTGGTGGTGGTGGTGGGTGGTGGTGGTGGTGGTGATGGTGGTGGTGGTGGTGCTGGTGGTGGTGGTGGTGGTGCTGGTGGTGGTGGTGTTGGTACTGGTGCTGGTGCTGGTGGTGGTGGTGGTGGTGGTGGTGGTGGTGGTGGTGGTGGTGGTGGTGGTGGTGGTGGCGGTGCGGCGCGGTGGTGGCGGGCGGATGGGCGCGCGAGAAAAAGGCCCGCGCTGGGGCGAGAACGCCATCCTGAACGACGGAGGCCAAACACCGATCCGAAAATGAGGCCCACGCTGCAGCGGGAGCACGATTCGGAACGATTCGGGAGCAGAAATGAGGCCGGCGCCTCAACGAGAGCAGCATTTTGGGAAAAAATGACGCCGGCGCCTCAGCGAGAGTCGTTTCCCGGGATTTCCCGGGCATCCTGTGTGTAAAAAAAAAACAGTACGCGGAGGGTGCGCGGCCATCACCCGGACGCCATCAGGGGAAGAGGGAGAGTATTTTCATATTGAGTAATTGTGGAGGAGGAGGAGGAGGAGGAGGAGGAGGAGGAGGAGGAGGGGAGGAGGAGGAGGGGAGGGGAAGGAGGAGGGAGGAGGAGCCAGCAGCAGCAGCAGCAAGAGCAGGAACAGAGGGTGAGGAGGGGGCGGGAGGAGGACGAGGAAGAGGAGGAACAGGAGCAGGAGGAGGAGGAAGACGAGGCGGAGGAGGAGGAAAGAGAAGGAGGAAGCACGAGAGGAGGAGGAGGAGGAGGAGGAGGAGGAGGAGGAGGAGGAGGAGAAGGAAGAGGAGAAGGTGGAGAAGCAAGAACAGGAGGAGGAAGAGGAGGAAAAGAAGGAGACGGAGAGGGAGAAGGAGAAGGAGGAAGAGGAGGAGGAGCAGGAGGAAGATGAGGAGGAGCAGGAGGAAAAGGAGGAGGAGGAGGAGACCAGATGAAACACACGTGGGGGTTTCAATAGTTTCGCTTCTTGGGCCATCTTGGGGGTCATCCGAGATCGCTCCGAAAGGATGCCTTACAAGAGCTGTGTCGGCATCCCATTGTTTCGAGGATGTCTTAAGGCACGGCACGACACGTCTTAAGATACGACCCCCAACTTCACGATGTTGTGAGGATCTCTCGAGCGAAACGCTCATTTGGTAAACCTCCTTTCCTGACATGAACGGGAAACGCGTGAACGGGAAGAGTTGCGCAAGAACTTGCAGCATCATCGTGATCCAGTGTAATATAGGCGAGCTCTCCGAACGCTCACAACGGAT